TATACGCCCCCCCCCCCCCCCCCCCTCCCCCTCGCTAGGCATACCGAGATATCCTGTATCGGACTATTGATAACATTCAACAGCCAAGGAGTGCGCAAGACAAACCTTGAACTTGGCCTTTTCTGTCTTGGGCAACGAAAACAGCTCCCTCCCCTTCGAGACGACGTCATCCAACAACGCCTGCGGAATGCCATGGTTCAAAACCTGCGCGCGAGGGTTGTTGTAGTACGTTGCGGGGTTTGACACAGAGAAAAGTGCGGATGTAGGCGCACACTGAGTACAGCGGAAAGAAGCCAGCAGGTTTCATCGAGGATGACCGTACTTTGTTCGGTACGGTCGAGCGTCAGTACGTGATCACATTCAGCACGCATCAACAAATAGCAGTGCTGCTGTGTACCAGGCAGGGACAAACGAAAAACGAAGTTGGTGGAAACTTCGGCGTTGTCCGGTGACACGCTGCTTGTGTAACGCCTAGCATCACTCCATCTCGAATGCGAGCACCCATGGCAATACAAGTACGCTTGTGCGGGAACACAATAATGATTATCATCGCCGCGGGGGTGATGGTTATGGGATCCAATACGCACAAAAGTTGTACCTGCGCAATGCGTGTGTGGCCTGATAGCAAGGCATTTTAGTTACGGTTGATGTCTTCAAAACCCCTCCCCCAATGACATCCTTTGACAGACAAGTAGATGTTGTAAGGCAGTGATATCTTGATCTTTCCACTTCCCACTTCTATAATCTCTTTCCAGGGCGGTAGTCCGACCGCAGACTTAAGTTTCCGCCTTGCAGAACCACTCCAGTACGCAGCCCGGGGTCCACCAGGCACCATACAGCCAAATCACGCACTGAACCACACGAACAACATGAACTCAAGATGAGGAAACTCTGGGAGGCCGAGTACAGCAGTATTGGAGGATTGGCACGGTCCAGTGAGAACTTAAAATTTTTGAACACCCTCTTGTGTAATGTTATCCAACTATCGTTTGCGCTACTAGACCGTATCCGGGCTGCTGTACAACTGTAGTAGGCCGCGGCGGCACTCTGTTCGTTCATGATCTCCACCACCTGAAAGAAACCCCATTGTTCGCACGCCCTCGCCACAGCCTCTGCTGCTACATCCCATTCCCCGGCGGAGTGCTGGTTTGGGTTGACTAGCGGAGAGATGTCGATGGTTGGAGGCTCGAGCACGTCCTGCGTTGTTGGGGCTTCTTCGCACGATCCTGTAGCGGGACATTGCATTGCTAGCTCTTCTGTGTAGACAGAGGTGTGTAACGACGTTAGCACCACAAGTACTGAAAGCCGCACCAATCTTCCCATCGTTTCGTTGGATGCAAGCTCGTCTTTGCAGCCCGTGGTCTATGCTGGTGAGCGGTGTCGCTGTGCTATGTGAGGAAGGAAGTACTGGCCTGCTCGTCAGCACCTCGGCTCGGTCCCTGGGGGGTCTGAAGATGATGCAATTTTCGCACCCCTCCACGTACCATTTTCGCACCCCCCCACGTCGGGGGATTTCACACATCAACCGACACATCACATCACACATGGCACATTGATCACTCGACACATCTTGGACATCTGCTCACATCATCGATCAACAGTATAGCACCTCATCGTACACAACCGATACATCATCTCTGATAACCGAAGTTTTGTCTCCTGCATTGTTCACCAACAGCGTTCTCAGCAGAACATCCTGCAGGTATACTTGAGGATGTGTGTGAGGTGTCCATGTGGGATCATCTATGCAATCAACGCAGAATTATAGACTCCTCCCGCCGGGGGTCTCGCTTTCTGAGTAACCACACAAGCATGTTCGTATAGACTTCACAAAAAAAGGAAACAGTAAGGAAAGAGAAAATGAAATAAACAGAGCGAGGAGGACAAAAAGGGACCAGGCCGAAAATAACAAGAAAAAAGAGACAGAAAAAGGCACACGGTGGAGATACCGTGGCCGTTTTAAACGGACCGACTTTTTGTCAAAATTTTTTCAAGTGTCAAAAAAATGAAACCTGTATGCAGGCGTTTGTCCATTTAAAAGGCAAAAAAAAAACGTGTGTGGCAGATGGACGTTGTAGTCACACTGCTAATTTTTTATCCACATGTATGTTCATAAACGACTCAACGCGCCTGCTGCATGGATGCAAATATTCCATCGCTCAATAACCCAGAGGAGCAGACGCAAAAATCGGTTTTGAAATCGGAGCTATTTTCGAAAAGATTCGGCTTGAACAAGGACGCGACAAATCTCGGGGCAAAAAAGGGTCTCCAATATTTTTTGCGGCCTTCGGCCGCAATAGTTTAATTCCCCTAAAACTCTGTCCCGGTACATCAAAAATTTGCCAAAATATTTGGAACGAAGTTGGGAGCGAAAACTTTGCTCCACTTCGTTCCAACTTTTTGACAACCCTCTCAAAGTATTTGGAGCACTACTTTCCAAAGTACCCTTCCTTGCAGAGGCACGCGAGGGCTGCTGCGTCTGCACCACGAGTGCCCCTCACCGTAGAAAGTCAGCTAGGGTTGTGTGTGAGTCATCTGTCGCTGTCGCTATTGCTATCGTCGCTGTTGCCAACGTTGACGATGCTGTCTGCTGTTGTTGCTGTGTCGTCCGAAAAACGGCGGTCCGCCATGATGGCTTGCAGTTGTTGCTTCGCGTCCGCCGCTTTGTTTTTTCCTTTTCCCGGGGGGGTAGGAGCAGTGGTTGCCACCCCTCGCCGGCGGCCTGCTCCACCCTCGCTCTGAGTGTTGGTGGCGGCAGCGCCTCCCGTGGTAACATGAGTGTTCCCCGAGATGCCAGGCAGCAGCACTATCTTGCTGGAGAGCAAGCCTCCACCGCCTACGGCGGCACCGAGAGAGCCCGTCTGCTGGAATTTCGCCGGGGTTTTGGTCTGCCGGCCACGCTGGGTGGTCGTGATATCCATGTCGGTGTCCATGATGTCGTGTTTTCCGCGGTTTGTGTTGTATCGTGTGTGCTGTCTCGAAGTGAGCGCTACAACTCACGGACGGCGTCATTTTTTTTTACACAAGTTCCACAAGTCGTTTAAAATGACTGCACACAGGTTCCAAGTTTTTGAAAGACAAATGTCGAAAATTTTGACAAAAAAGTCGGTCCGTTTAGAACGGCCGTAACGACAAGCAAACACGCAAACATGGTGTACAAGGGAAAGAACAGCGCCCGCCGGGGCCGTCTCAACTCTAAAAGCCCTATCAAATGACCCCTTGCTCTCAAAGCCCTATCAAATGTCCCCTCAAATCGAGGGGACATTTGATAGGGCTTTTCGACAACGAAAAAGGCATAGACTGGTTTGGTGTGTTGTTGATTATATTTAATGAGTGGGTGTGGAGTGGTCCGGCAGACGGTTTGAATTTGGATTCCCCCCCGCCCCCTACGAATGAAGGACATGTAAAAGGCAGGTATGCTTGGTTTCCGTGCCCCCCCAGCAGTGTGATTCCTGCGTGTCGAGAGCGACAGCATGATGACACAGCATGTTGACACGAATTCGAGGAGAAAGAGAGAGACACGGAGAGAGAGAGAGAGAGAGCCATACACATACACACAGAGCGAGACGCACGTGCAGCAACTGCACTTGCCGTAGGTTATGTGTGCGCCTATCTATGACGCTTGGAGGAGCGGGTTGACATTTGGACAGGTAGTAGTAGTCCTGTGCTGCTGCTGCTGCTGTAATATAAATATATGTAGCTGCTACGCTATTATACCATGTTGGCTGAGCCCGTTGTACGCTAGATAGATGTCACCGCAGCCACTCTATTGTATGCACGCACACCTCTATACAGCAGCAGTACTACTCCAGGTACAAGACTACATACTGCTGTACACTTGTACCCTATTTTTTTCTGTTTCTTCGTGGGGTCGTGTATGCCGGGTTTTGAGACCACGGGCTCCCAATCTTTTTTTTTTTAGAGCTAATGTGAGAAACAACAACAACAAACTGCTGTACACTGTCACTGCTGTAGATACTTTTAGATGGAGTCTCCTCTGCCCCCCCCCGGCGTTGCGATGCTTGGTTCACCTCACGCGTGGTTTGCTGGGTCCACCCAAGGGTGCCGGGGGTGGGGTAAGAACCCCCCCGGACCCCCCCCCTGCCTTGCGATGATTGGTCCACCTGCGTGTGGTTTGCTTGGTCCTAACATTTACTTTTTTTAAATAGCAAACACCTTCTTGACGTTGTTCGTGATTTTTGTCGCACGATGCCACCGACGATCCAAGCCACCAAAAATCAACCCCGAGTAAAACGTGTGCCCTCCACCAATAACGCGGTGAACTTGGGCAAAGAGGACAGCACACACGCGGTGCGTTTTGGAACGATATATCACGGATATAGTCTACACTCTTTTCATTTCCTCCCTTCGCGCGAGCTCCCCCCCTCTCCCAAAAACGTCACTACACCTTGAGGTCGCAATCCCAACCCCCCTGGTAGCAATGCATTTTTAGGATCAAGAAGAGCAGTGTGGGTTCACGAAGAAGCCAGATCCTCGCGGATGAAATAACCGTTGGTTGAGCATCCCGCCCCCTAACGCCCCCGCTCGTCGCCGCCCCTGCCAATGCTCAACAACAAATTAGGAATGAAAAAACTATCACCCTTAGATTCCTAAAATATTCCAAACGGACTTCTACGCGATAATAAATAAAATAGAGTGCGCAGGCACACTATTGTCGCCTCGGGGCATTTTTCGCATCTTTTTCTGCCAACCAACCCCTCATCCAACTCAGATGAAGAACGAATGCAGACAAATCCCGCACAATCTCCCCCCTTCGCCTTCGATTACCAGCACGGACGAATGACCTACTCTTCGTTTCCGCCCCCAGTACACGAAACTATGAGGTAAAGATGGTTGTCTGTCGTTTCGGGCTCAAACTTGCCGACCAATTCGCACCTATTCACTCTGTCTGCCAGCGGCATGTCAAGCTACGTACGTGGTAGACGACGCGAGATCTATTTACTCTCTGTTAGATACTCTTTAGGTCTAACCGATGTCGAACCTACACAGCAAGGCTAGGTTCCTCACGCGAGCAAGGCTAGGTTCCTCGCCCCAACCCTTCCCTAACCCTTACCCCTCCCACAGCTAACGCAAGGCCTGTAGCGGCCGCGAGCTGGGCGAGAACGCAGCTGCGCCGTGTTCTCGGAATGTAGAACGGCTAGACGGCGCTGGACAGGGTCAGGCCTAGGAACCAACACCCGACCAATCAAACGGCGTGAAGCCGCGTAAATAGGAAGAGTAACTAACAGACCACAAAATGAATGGACGACGCACACAAGATGTCGTGCAATGCGGCGGGTGGACAAAAATGACACATTGAACAATACCACCGGCGAGCTCGGTGCTGGTGGTTATGACTACTCTGCCGGGAAACACGTTTGTTTTTGTCCGAAAGTAAACACGCACATCGCTGATTGACTGAAAAATTCCCTATAGGACGAGCGAAAACCAAATCACCCCCGCCTCGCCTGGGTTTATCACACGGACGCTTACCACACATTACGGCACCCACGGGTGCAAATCAAGGCTTCGATACATACAACGCGTTGGGGTTCTGGTGATAGTGACACCCTCAAAGGCGGTTGTTAGGTATGTAGCCATCGAGATATGGTGAAGACAGAAATGCATCGCGATTCAGTCTCCCTCAACAAATTGCCGACCTACGTGCTACAACCCAAACGTCGATTACCACCGTCGTCGCGTCCCTCTCTGGTGCGCAAGCTACTTTTTGGGAATACCGATCGACGGTCGCGTCTGCATCGCGACCCTCCTGGGCGAACCACAATGTCGAACCGCGGTTCCACACGAACATGTCACGAACGATACAAGGGCCGAAAAGTGCATTGTCGACGCGAACGAGGGCGCCGGTACTTGTAATGTGTGGTGGGTGTTTCGAACGATTTGTGTTTTTTCTTTTCCTCGAGACAAACGTGTTCAGTGAGGGCGTGCACTGCCGAGGAGCCAGATCAAAAATTCATTCTCATGGTTCTTAATTCTTGGTTTGTTGCTTTTGTTATTCATTCCTGTGACAATTTCCACTACTAAGCGAATTCGGGTCCACTGTTCGCTGAACGAGATATCCTGCTGTATGCGCGTGCGCTTGCAGCACATTCTGTCGAGAAATACGTTTGGTTGGGTCTCAGCTATGCAAATGAAGTTCATAACAAGAAAATCTGCGAAGTCATGACACAAGTAAAAAAGCTAGGCGAGAAAAATAGTCCTGGGTACACTCCTTGATGACGCGTTACCTTGCCGACCTTCTTTCCCGCGCTAGCGATTTCCTTCGCTCTAGGTCGCCGCTCTCTGTATGGTCCACTGCGTCGCCGCCCACGCTGCTCAAAGTCCCATTCCTCCCCTCGATCTTTCTCTTGTGCCACTCCTTGATCCGCCG